GATCGAGAGCAGCTCCCTCTTCATCATCAGATGATCAATGAGATGACCCACGTACCTCTCCACCTCCCTCCCCGTGACTCTAGGGCGCTGCTCTAGCCACAGTGAAGCTTGGCGGAGGCGCTCGGAGCGCTCGGGCCGTGAGATAACTCGCCCAGACGCGCCATCGATCAGACGGCCGAGGCTGGTGAAGACGTCAGTGGCCTCGACCACCTCGTGAATCTGCACGCCATGCTTCCTCCAGGCGTCGCAGATCTGGTGCATCAAAACATTGCATCTGACAGGGTCGGTGCCGATGACGTTGATGTTATCGCAATAGGGGAGGAGGCAAGGGACCCCCCCGTCGAGCGGGGGCACCGGACCGTGATCGGTCAGCACCCGCGGGAACCCGAGCCCCGAGGCAGAGCAGCAGACGTGCGCATTCGCACGCTGCCCAAGCCAGAAAGCCCAAGACCAGCCCATCGGAACGACCCGCAGGAACGGCCACACCCAGCCCCCCGAGGGGCCCTCGGGAGTGCCCACTGCCTCAACCCCCCATTGCGACAACGAAGCCTGCGACACCGGAGGCAGCGAGAAGAACAGTCCCAGCTCCTCCCTCAGGCCGAGAGCGTAGAAGTAGTTGCGCACATCAGCCTGGGCGCAGAAAAGCTTGGTGCTGAAGCTGCCGTCCTCCTTACGATCATCAGGTAGCTGTAGGCGTCCGTACGCAGCCGATGTCCCCATGGCCAGCGGCGGCGGGTCGCGAAAACGTCGATTTGGCACTCTAGCGCCCCACACTAGACGCTGCGCTCCACTCTTCTTGGCCACGAAAAAGGGGGTGACTAAATCCTTCGGGCGGTACGTGAAACCCAGCATGTTAGCCTTCACCAGGTCGCCGATGAAAGTGTGGTATGCCACCGGGTCACGCTTCAAAACTTCGTCCATGTAGGGGGTGACGGGCGGCTCGCTTTCCAAGACGCGGGACCACTCGTCAGGAGTCTTCATCATTGCTTGCTCGTAGTCCAGCACGTAGCTCCTCCCGATCCCGTCGAGCACCGACTCAACAGGAGGTATGACCGCACCCACTTCTGGGATGTCGACTCGGGATCTGACGTACCTTACCACGGGACTCGGTGCCTCGTCCGCGGTGTAGGACAGGCTGGAGGCCAGGAGCTCCTTCGCGGCTCCACGGCGAGAAAAGTGAGTGTCAGACTTCGGGGCCATCCTGACCTCGTTCAAAATGGTGGCGGTAGCAAGCCGCTGAGCCGCCGTGATGGGCCCACGCTGCTCGCACGGAGGATGGAGAGCGTTGAGACCCGCAACGGCATCATTGGCACACTGCTCCGTCTGCCGCCTATGGGCCAGCCTTCGCCTCGTCGACGTAGACGCTGGCGCAGAAGTAGGCGGAGTCGGCTGAATGGAGGGCAGCGGGAACAGATCACGCTGGCGATCGTCCGCTGCACTCAGCCCAGGAGGGCGTCCCATGTCACTCGATCCTCGGACGGACGGTACCTCGCGATCCCCGAAGCCTGCCCTGGCTGGAGGGCGCGAGGTGCGTACCGCTGGGCCCCCACGGCCACAGTCGGTCGGCACCCCACTACCCTCAGCGCCAGGGGCAGTGCGAGGTCGGAAGGTGCGTGCCGCCGAGGCACCACAGGCCTTGTGCACGTCGCGGGCCGGCCAGCCCCCGCGACTGGGAGCCGTCATGATCCCTGCCCGCCAGTACCGCTGGCGTCGGTCCTGCCGCCCCCCTTGCCGCGGCGCAGCTTCTGCTCCTCCTTCGCCTTGCGAGCCTCTTTGAGAATCGCTGCCCTGTCGCGCATGCCCGCGGCCACGTGGCGCTGCAGGTCGGGCGCGACGGCGGCGCCCTGGCGATGCGTGGCCCAGCCCATGAACTCATCGGCCTCATCGGCCGCGGAGTAGTCTGGGTTCGAGGGAGAGGCCGAGTGAGCATCCTCGATGACCTGGATCCTGCGCACGACGAGCTCGGCGCTCTGGAGCGCAGGGGCGTTGAGCTGGTCCACGGTCACGATTGCCTCCAGCACATGGCACAGCACCTCGTGTTCGTGAACTGAACGATCTCCATCAGGGATGCGAGCCGACCTCAGCCAGTTCGAGTGGTGCGTGACTGGCGTGAGCCCGGCATCCCGATACGACCTCAGCACCCAATCTGTAGTGCGAGGGCCCTGCAGCATGATGCCTCCCTCAGGCTCATCCACGATCTGCATGTCCACGGACTCGCTGTATGGGCGACGGCGCGCTCCCTGCTGGTTGAAACGCACAGGCAGCACGCGCAGGTCGTCCACGACGAAGGCGTCCACGTCGGCTAGGGCCACCTGGCGCGCTCCGACGAAGCCCCCTCCATGAGGCACCAGCGCCAGCTCCCCGTGCACGACGGCGCCCTGGGGGAGAGGATCAGGCATCTGCTCGCCGCGCCGCATCCCCTGGAAGTCCTCGATAGCCAGCCACACTGTGCCAGCCACTGCGGGGGCGGCCGCGGCCCCAGCGCGGGGGGCCCCTCCCACCACGCCAGCGCCTCGAGGCACGATGGCCCCCTGTGGTGCGGCCGCCGCGGGGGGAGCCGCCACGGGCGCCGCTGCGGCGGCAGGAGCAGCGGCAGCAGGCGGCGCCACCCCCCCGATAAGGAGCGAGCCCTCGCGGATCAGCTGCTGGACCTCGGCCGCCGTCGGCACCTGGCGGAAGCGGTAGACGTGGGCGGGGTTGACCCCAGGGGGGGTGGCGCCCTGCGCTCCCGACCACCGCACATCTCTGAGGTCGTCGGACGTCGTGTACTCTGCGTAGTGGTCCCCATCTGGCGAGTACGTGCTGACAAGACCTGGATCCCCGATCGAGACCCCTGTCACAAGCCTCTCATGATACACCGGCGCTCCAGGCAGGTCATACTGGAAGAGCACGTAGCCTACTCTCGCCATTGCGCCTCCTGATCAGCTGCAGCTGCTCTCGCGCTCGATCTCCCACCCCTGTCGCCTCGGCGTCGACGCGGCCGCCCCGCCGCCAGACTGCGCCGCCCAGCCCGAGCCCCGCAGAGACTCCTGTCAGGTATCCCCAGCAGGCCGAGGGAATGTCGAGCCCGTCAGGGACGAGCTCAACTCCTGCAGGCGGGCAGGAGAGATTCACCAGCGGCACGGGGCACGCTGGGGTCGGGCAGGCCAGCGCTGGGCAGACCTGGGCGGGGCACGAGACGTTCGCGGGCGGGCACGCCAGCGAGACCGCGGGGCACTGGGGCACCGCCGAGATCAGGGACTGGCGCAGCGCCAGCAGCTCGAGAGCACGGATCCCTGCAGACTGGAAGGTCTCGATGAGGGCGGACTGCGCCCCCATCAGGGAAAACCACTCCTGGAAAAAACTTGAGCATAAGTACAACATACGGCACTGAACGCAGCAAGAGATCATTAATGTGCAAGCACAACGCATATATATATATATATATATATATATATATACAGGTATATCGACATGTAGGTAGGTACTCCTCGATCTGTTGTTCCCTTATCCATCCGTCCTTCCACCCTCACTCGGCCACGCCCCGAATACGTCCTCCCAGCTCATCGCCCGTCCCGTCTCTCGGCTTTCGTTCTTCCCTCCATCCTTCCCTCCTCTCCCTTCCTTCCTCTTTGCCCTCCCCTCCCCTCCCCTCCCATACTCGACCCTCCCCCCTCCCCTTCTCTGAAGGAAGACGGTACTCTGCAACCCTTTGCCATGCTGCCAAGCCCCCTGATGTTCCCTAACGAGCTGCATGCCCTCCGGGTGCAGGTGGCTTAGCGTGTTTCCTCTTCCAACACCCTTCTGCAACTTCAAGGGGGCGCATCACTGTTCATTGTTGACAAGCACCTCCCTCACCCACTCGACCTGCCGCCAGCCAGGAACAATGAGCCCACCCCCCACAAACGCAGTCGAAAAAATAGTAAACGAAGTCCACGTTGCTGCAAAATCTGAATGGTGAGCGAGAGCACCACAAGCACTTGCCATTAGCTTCTGAGAGGGCGAGTGGGGATGAGCGGATTTGTCTGATGTGCACTGTCCCACTATCCTTGTTGAAAGAACATGCTAACTCATTGCAAACGCACGCCCAAGACACCAGGCCGACCACCCCGCTGCCACTTTCAAATAAGTTCTCAAACGGATGATCGGGGGTCGACATGTTGCCCGATCTTTGTTATCAAGCACACGTGCACCAGCGCATTTGGAGCACCTGGTGCGGCTGGAGCGCATCTTGCGCACCAGGCGCGCATGATACGCTATGTGGATCGCTTGGAATCGCCTTGGGGCTGGCTTGGGGGCCTCTCGGCCCCTTGGGGAGCCGTCCTGGGCCGTCCTGAGCCCCTCCAGGGGCACTCTTGGGGCGCCCGGGGTTTTCTGGAGCCTTGTCGGGGGGTCCGCGAAAATGCTGAGTTTGCAAAAACTCGTCATAAAATGTTCAAGACATAAACTCAAATGGCCAAATCTTGGGTTATACCTTAGGGCCCCTCTTGGGACGCTCTTGGGCTCTTACTCTAGCTCCTCCGGAGGCCGTCGGCGGCCCTCCACCCTGCGACAAGATTGGGGCTCTCTTAGGGGACCTTTTGGGCCTCCGAGGCCATCTCGGAGGCACACCTTGTCCACAAACGAAGACGAGGGAAAACCTCGGGAATTCCTTGGTCATTGACTGACTTGGCCCCCTTGGAGGTCCTCTGTGGGCACTCTGGCGGCCTCTTGGGGGCCGTCTTGGGGCCTCTTTGTAGCGCTGGGAGCCTCCTGGGAAAGCCTGGTCTCGTGGGACCATTTTGTGGCCCTCTTGAAGCGTCTTTGCGCTCCGGAAGCCGCCCGGGGCAGCTGCGGGGAGGCTTCGGGGAGACCACGGGAGGAATGGCGCCACTCAGGGGTGTCAGGGTGTCCCTGGTGTGCTGCGGCCCCGGGATCCCTGGGGACGGGCATCGCGTACATGGAAACAGGCACAAACTGAAGTACCTATACATCAATATCACCATCTATCGAACGTTCTCCTCCTCTATTCCACGCATCGGTCAACTGGCGCTCTGCCCATGCGGCATCGCCTTCTGGAGCTGCACGTTTGCCTCTTTGCTCTGCACCACCACCTGTCGACAGCCCACTCCATACTTGGCAAGGAGTTCAGATAAGAGCCTCTGAAGACCATAAGGCATAGAGCATATCGGAGAAAACGCAGTAAGATAAGCACAGGGCAGAAAACAGAGGCACGTCGACCATGGCACCAAGCAGGGCGAACGAGCACAGACCCTTTACAATCAGCCATCGCGATCAGACGAATGTTATGATGCTCGACGCAAGTTCCATGCAAGCAGGATGCGATGTCGAAGGCTGGAAACAGCATACTCAGACGCTGTGCTTCCCACACAGCCCCATCTAGAAAGCAGACGTCGCGTTCCACTTGCCCTCGGGGCACCAGTGCACCAGCATCGTGGCTAGAGGAGGGGACGACTGTGCAGACGAAGCAGAACCAGCCCGAGTTTCGGAGGTCCCCAAAAGCCTCTGGGGGTCACAAATTGGCACAGGCAGTATGCGAGAACCTCAACCGCGTGCCCCTCCACTGTGGAGCGCACCCCCCGCACACCCCGATGACGCACTTGGCTTCAGGCAGGGTCACGCCTGCTCGATGTTGTAGTCTATTCTGTCCAGGATAGAGCCCTGATCGATCACCAGCACCGCCAGCTCCTGGCGGAGGCGAGCAGCAACGAGGAAGACCCGCAAGAGAGGATCGAGGAGCAAACAACGAGAAAGGAGGAGCGGGAAGGGAACGATGAAGGAGGATCGAGGAAGGACGCGGTAGGAGTGGTAGTGGAGGATGGGGGGACGAGGGGAGCGATGAACGGGGATGGAGCCCTGATCGATCACTAAGACGTCGAAGGTGGGCAAAGCAGCGAAGCACAGGGTCGCCTCCGACATTTGGATGACGAGTCAGTCGTCTGGGTGCTTGTGGGACGGCTCTCGGGAAGCCCCAAAGTGGGGACGAAGCGCACGGGCACGATGACTGACATCCGTTCCGACGCATTTTGGACAGGGCTCACTGTCGGCCACGAGGCGAACGTGGTCCGTTTGTTGGAGGGCGTCGGCTGTGCAACGGCAGCTGCAGTCCTAGAAGAGCAGCAAGCAAGAAAAGTATCATCTTTCCGAGGTCCGCGCGGAGTTCTTCGGTCGGCGCTGGCACACCCCTCCCCACACCCCTTCTTGACGGCGCGCAGGAGAGGGGCAGTGAAAGGGGGGAAGGCTTCTTAGGAGGGCTGCCTCTTAGAAGGCGCGGGCAGTACACATCTACAGAACAGGCTCGCGCCTCCTAAGAAGCAGGGGTGCTTCGAAGAAGCCTTCCCCCCTCCCCCCTGCCCCCCCTCTGCGCGCCGCGGACTTCCCCTTTCCCCACGCCCCTTCCCCCTTCCCCACGTCCCTTCCCACGCCCCTTCCCGCTCCCCCTTCCCGCCCCCCTTCTCCCCAGCCCCCTTCCCCACGCCCCGAACCCTTCCCACGCCCTCCGGGGACGGCAGCGCAGCGCCGACTCAAGAAAAATCAGCGCTGACCTCCGAATGTGCATGCCGCTGTTTGGTCGTCGATTTCAGCTTCGTCAGACGGTCGCTGCTGGGCGTTATCCCCATCAATGACTTCCCCAGCTCGTGCGTGCCAAGGCCCCCACCCCAACTCGAGAAGGCCGAGGCTGGCGCCGAGACTCCTGCCGATGCCGCGGCCCAGGAGGTCAACTGGCTTCTCCGCCAGCCGTAGAGAATACCGCACTCGCCACCTGGCACCTGAAACGCACACGGCAAAATCACGTGACGATGGCATCACCTTTGGTTCCTGACACCGCGTGGACTTGAACGATCGCGGCCTTATGATAGCGCAACTCGTTCGATCGGCCGATTCCAGGACACTTGTGGTGGTCCATCTTGAGAACGCCTGCGCTGAGGTGCTGTGTCGCACTCGCCTCCTGACACACAAAACGAGCAGCTGGCACCACCACCACCCTCTGTCGTCCCGTCAAACTTCCCCACTGCTGCTGCCCCCATGCGTCACATCCCTTTTGAGTCCTTGAAGATGGTGTGCAGGTCGTTGATCGAAGAAGCGATTTTGCAGATCTCTTCACTCCTGCGCAGCATTTTGGCAAGCACCAATCAAAGACAAGCAAGGGGCCCGCGCACGATATGGCCCTCTTTTCATGGACTACGCGCAGCGAGATGGTGGAGTCGGGGAAGCTGGGAAATGGGCGCAATGGGCACCGCCCAGCATGCGGACGGGCTCATTGAGACCGTAGAAGGAGCTCGCTATGGGGCACCGATCCTCGTGAGAGGTGCCGAAATGGGCACGAAACTCGAGTACCGTGGTCTGCAAAGTACCCCAGTGGCATTCAGAGGTCCCCGGGGGCGCCCCCCAAGGTCCTCGGAGGCCTACGAAGGCCGCTGGAAGCCCCAACGAAAAAAATCGACCACATTGCATGAAAGAAGAGGAGGAGGAGGAGGAGGAGGAGGAAGGGGGAGGAGGATAAGGAGGAAAAGGAGGAAAAGGAGGAGGACGACGACGAAGGAGAACGAGGAGGACGAAGAGGACAAGGAGGAAGGGGAGGAAACCGAAGAGGAGAACGAGGGAAGAGGAGGAGGAGGAGGACTGGGAGGACGAGAGGACGAGGAGGAGGAGGAGGAGGAGGAGGAGGAGGAGGATAAGGAGGAAAAGGAGGGAAAGGAGGAGGACGACGACGAAGGAGAGGAGGACGAAGAGGAGAAGGAGGAAGGGGAGGAAAAAGAGGAAGAGAGACGAAGGAGGAGGGGAGGAGGAGGAGAGGAGGAGAAGGGGACGAGGACAAGGAGAAGGAGGAGGAGGAGGAAGAGGAGGAGAGGAACGAGGGAGGAAGGAGAAGAGGAGGAGGAGGAGGATGAGGGAGAGAAAAGGAGGAAAAGGAGAACGAGGAGGACGACGACGAAGGAGAACGAGGAGGACGAAGAGGAGAAGGAGGAAGGGGAGGAAAAAGAGGAGGAGAACGAAGGAGGAGGAGGAGGAGGAAGAGGAGGAAGAGGAGGAGGAGGAGGAGAAGTAGGAGGACGACGACGAAGGAGGAGGACGATGAGAAGGAGGAGGAGGAGGAGGAGGAGGAGGAGGAGGAGGAGGAGGAGGGGGAGGAAGAGGATGAGGAGGATGAGGAAAAAGAAAAAAAGGAGGAGGAGGAGGAGGAGGAAGAGGAGGAGGACGACGACGACGACGAGGGCGACGACGAAGACGACGACGAGGACGACGACGACGACGACGGAGTTCCTCTGGCTGGCGTTGATTTCCATGCTCTCCAGCTCAAGCAGTTGGCCATCGTTGAAACCGACGTCCACGCCGCCCTCCGCGCCGGCGCGGCAGGGTGCGGCAAGAAGGCGGCGCGGCCAAGAAAGCAGATAGGCGCCGACTGAAATTCGAGGAGGAGGACGAGAAGAGGAAGAGTAGATGATACAAAACGAAGAGGAAGAGGCGGATAAGGAGAAGGAGGAGGTGGAGGAGAAAGAGGAAAAGGACGACGAGGGAAGAGGATGAGGAGGAAGATGAAAAGGAAGAGGAAGAGGAAATGGGGGGGTGAAGAACGAAGAAAACACAGAAGAGGAGGAGGAGGAGGACGACGACGACGACGAGGAAAAAGGGGAAGAAGGGAACAAGGGGGAGGGGAAGAGGGAAGGAGGGAGAAAGGAAGGACGGGAAGGGGAAGAAAAGGTATCCTCGATGAGCCTTGATGACGGCGCGACAGCGGCAAGCAGGAAAAAGCGAGGTGACGGCTGCTCTCTTTTCTGGGTGGAAATGACGGGGGGCCGAGTACGTCGGGCAAGGACGACGTCGGGCAGGGAAGACTCGAGAAGATGTCGAGCAGAGAACCCACCGAGTGGGCGATTCACAAACAGGGAGGAGAATACACAGAATTACCTGTTGGCACACGGGGGCGCATCCTCGATGAACCCTGATAGCGGTGCGATAGCAGTAAAAGGGGAACAGAGCGGTGACGGCGATTCCCTTCTGTGGGCGGCGGTGCAAGGGGCCCTGCACGCAGGGCACTTGCCACTCCCAGGAAAGCGATGCCCTTTTCGGCGACGGGAGTGATTAATCTGGAAAACCGAAGGGGGCGAGGAAGGAGCCCAGGGAATGCAGGCGGCTGCTGAAGCCCCCAACCCTGGACACTGCCAGCGCCTGGGGGCCCGCCGCCTTCCCCCCTCGCCCCCGCTTCCTCTCGGCGCGCAAAACAGCCACCACTGCACGCCGCTCGCGCGCGAACAGAAGCCGAGAGGCGCGGCCTCGAAGCCCTGCCCAGCCTCCACTGGGCCCTCCGCGGTCGGCGCCCTCCTCCGCCCCAGACCCCGGCCCCCGCCCACGGAAGGGGGGGGCGGGCGAAAAGGCGAAAGAACGGAGGAAATGGATTCGAGACCGCCACGAAGACACACGGGAACCCGGCCCAAGGGCCCCCCACGCCCCCACCCCAACCCGGCACCCCTCGGGGGGGGAGGCTTGAGACCCCCGCGCGGCGGCGCCTCGGCGCGCGGCGGGCGCCGCATCCTGGGCCGCTCGCGGGCCGTCACCTCCTCGCCCGCGCCGCCTCATGCCAGGGCGCCGCCGCGGCTGCCCCCGCTGCGTCTGCGCGACCTCGTCCGCGGCGCGCTCGGCGGGGCCGCCCCCGCGGAAGGGCCAACCTCACCTCGGCGGTCGGCTCGCGGGGGCGGCCGGCTCGCGGCGCCCCACGGTGACCGCCCCCATCGCGCAGGGCGCGCGACCCCCAGGCCCGCCGCCGCCGCGCGGTCGAAGCCCGTCTCCTTCTCGTCGCCTGGGTCGTCCGCCCCCTGGGCGCCCTCGCGCGGCAGCCCTTCCAGGCTCGGCGCCGCCGCGAGCGGGCCCCGCCCTCCCCGCGCCCAGCAAGGAGGACCGCCAACGTTCGCTCGTTCGGCCTTGACGCGGGAACTGCCCGTTGTCCGTCGGCCCCGCCACCGAGGTTCACCCTCGGGTGAGCCCCCCGGGCCTCGCGAACGGCCTCCTGCCAAGGAGCGCGTCGATGCGCCCCCTCGTCGGCGGGGCCCTGCTCGGGCGGTCTGCCGCGCCCGCGCCCCAAGAGCGGGGGGGGGGGCAGCTGCCCGCGCGCCGACGAGCTCCTCGCTCGCCGCCGCCGCCGAGCGCGACCCCCCAGCCACCCAGCCCCGAGAGCGGCCCCCCCAAACAACGGGGGGGGGGGGCCATTGATGCGGGGATCGGACGCCCCGAGTCCGCTGCATCCTCGCTCTCGTGGACGGCGCGTTTTTCGACCGCCCCCAGCGCACTGCAGCGCCCCTCGCTGCCCTCGCCCCCGAGGGCCCGCGGCGCGGGTGGCGCCGTCAAAGCGGGCGGCGGGAGGGGGCCCCCACCCCGGCGCCGCCCCGCGCCCCCGCCGCTATCTGCACCTGGAGGCCGGCAGATGCCAGGGCGAGACGACGTCACAACGCGATAAGTGCATGCCCCGACGCCTCGCGGGCTCGAGCTGCCTTGCCTCGACCGCCCCCGCTCGTCGGCGTCAGCGAGTTGCCCCGCGGGCCCGCTAGCGAGCCTCGGCAGGGGGATCGCCCGCGGCATGACTCTGAACCACCTGGTTCTCTCTTTCGGAGATGCCGCATCTGCTGCGGGGGCGTCGCCTCTGTTGCCGCGCATATTGCCTTCGCACGCGCCGGTCCGCAGCCCCAGCCCGCGCCCGCGGCCAACCCCTGGGCCGCCGCGCACCGCGCGCGGGCGGCTGCGGGGCGAGGGGGGATTGGCGCGACGCGCCAGCGTGCGAGATGGGATCGCACGGAGCCCCGCCGCCGCTCGCGCCCGCGCCCACCTCTGACGGCGGGCCCTCGATGATGACCCGACGCACCAGGGCCACGACGAGCCCACAGGCTGACCGCGCAGACCCTCACCTGACAATGCCTGCACCGAGAGCCATCTCGACGACTGCGACGACCCGTCGACAGCCTCGGGCCGAGCGAAGAGTCCGCCGTTCTGGACTACGTCTGCCACGCGCCCTGCCCCCCCCCCCAGCGGCTTTACCAGCCTGGTCGGACCCCGTCGGCTTGCGCGGCCCGCGGGCCCGGCCGCTCACGCAGTCGCCGAAGTGCCCGAGCGTCGCGGGCCCCCGGGCCTCGCGCGCGCTCGAGGGCAACCTGCGCCACGTGCCTAGGGCTCGCCCACGCGCCCCCACCGCGTCGACGCGCGCGCCGCCCGCGACGCCGCCCTTCGGCCGCCCCCGGCCCACGCCTGGCCGCGCCGTCTCGAGTGGGGCGATGGCGCGCCCGCCCCCTCAGCGGCGCGGCCCAGCGAGGCTTCCACCGAGCCTCCTCCTGCGCTGCGCCGGCGGCCGAGCGGCACCTCTGAGCGAAGCGGGCCCCTGCCATCGCAAGGGCCCCGCGGCGGGGGGGGGCCCGGCCGCTCCTCGGCCGGTCGCCCTCCGGAAGCACGCCGCGGCGCCCCTCCGCCGGGCCCGCCCAGGGCGGCCGTGGGCGCTCACCGCTGCCTCTTCACTGCTCCATTACTACTGCGACCACGAGCTTTCTCGGCTTCAACCCAGGTCGCGCCGAGCCCCCCGAGCGCCCCCCGAACGCGGGCTCGCCCGCCAAGGGCGCCCGACGCAGGCCGAGGATGAGGTAGCCGTGGGCCACCGAGCTGCCCTCCCCAGCCGCTTCAGCGCCTGCACCATCGCTGCCGACTGACCCACGAGCCCCCTGGCGGGCGTCTCCGACGCGCCAAAGTCCTCGTCCGCCGCCACCTGCCCGAGCGCCCCACGGACACGGGCCCCTCTGCCCAGGGCGCCCGACGCGGGCCGACCGAGGCGGCAGCGGTCGCGGAACACCTTGCCAACCTCTGCCCGGCGGCAGCGCTCCGGCGGGACGCCCCTCCTCTGCGCACCTGCCCACTCGTTCCCAACGGCGCGCGCGTCCCTGAGCAGCCCCCAGCGCCCCCCCCCCCCCCCCCCCCGCCGGGCGGCGGGCCGTTCCATCGGCCACCGCCCCCCCGCCCCCCCGGGGCCGAGGGGGAGGAGGAGGGGGAGCAGGAGTCGGAGGAGCAGGACTGGGAGGAGTAGGAGGAGGAGGAAGAGGAAGCAGAGGAGGAAGAGAAGGAGGAGGGATGATGAAGAGGACGATTATGATGGCGATGCTGATGATCACGTTGCTCATGAGGGGGAGGGTCGATGTGGGAGGAGGAGTTGCATGAGAATGAGGAGGAGGAGGAGGAGGAGGAGGAGGAGGAGAAGGGGGAGGAGGAGGAGGAGGAGGAGGGGGGAAGGAGGAGGGGGTGGGATGAGCAGCAGCAGCAGCAGCAGCAGCAGCAGGAGCAGGAGGAGGAGGATCGGCCAACCAGAAGGGTGGGGGGAGGGGGGGCCCTACCCCAATATGTTCCTAATCACGAGGTCCAGGCCACACCTATGATACGTCTTGCACGCGTTGGCGACCCTCCGAATGCGGAGAGCCATTTCCTAATTGAAAGCAAGGCCGCGCCGTGACTTGCCAGGCCCCCCGTCGCCCGCTCGCGCTCCGCGCGCCGCCGCCCGTCCGCCCCCTTTTTCCATCCAGGGGGCGGCGGCAAAAAGGCGCGCAGTTCGCGAACGGGTCGGAGAGAGCTCGACAGGTCACGGCACGGGGGCGGGGAGTCACGACAGCCCCCGATCCTCAATCCACGTCAGGGGTTGCTGCCAACTCGGCCACACGCACGGCCATGCATAGTTTTCGCGGCGTTCGCCCCTTGCCCCTGGAATCACAAGTGCCATCTCGGACGCTCGAGCCTCTCTCGCCTCCTCCTCGTCATCACCCTGTTCCGCAATTATGGTAAGTGTGATTCGCCAACAGGGCTCGACCTAAACAATGTGTTCGCGATTCCGTGGGCAGTTTTTCGGTCCCAGGACGCGTGCACAGCTGTGGAAATGCCTTTAATATAACGGACAAACAAGCACAATGTTTAGGTCGAGCCCTGTTTCCCAAGGGCCCATCCAGTCCGCAGGGCTCCCGCGCCGACCAGGGCCCACACTGGCCGAAAGCGATCGACCAGAGCCCC